TCCTCTACCGTAGAGCCGACAGAGTGGAGACAGAGGCAGCCTGGAAAGAGTAGAGAAGCTGGCTTCTGGTGTTCGCACTGCTGTGCCACTTTCCACTTGGGTCACATCGTCTTCTATGAGTCTCCTTCATTCCCCAACCAAGGAACTCAGTGTCCGTGGGCCTCTCCCCTTTGGGAGGCCTACACCACCCAATCTGGCCCCTTTTCAGGCCAAGTGTTAGCAGACCAATCAGATTACAGTCACTGTACTGAAATGTCAATACAAGTCAGCTTCCTGGTCCCAAACTTTTTTTCTAGCAGAGGGAGGTACTGCTTGCCAACTCAACTGCCTAATGAATCTCAGAATCAGCTATTCTTCTCCTACCTAGGAAACTATCAGATTTCTTTTCTTTCTGAGAGTTGACCCCAGAAATAATCAGATGGATAAAAATAAATAATGCCTTTTCTATAGTTATAGTTTATTTGTTCCTGGAACCATAAAACATAACTCGCGACTGTAAACATATTTAACTTCTATCCCAAAGCCCATGGATGTTTATCCTTCAGTGTATTTCTCTGGTAGCGTCAGCAGTCACTCACAACCTAACCAGAATTAGAGAGAACTCTGCTCCCAATCTCAACTCCGATCTTTCTTTCCTCCCACCCCCAACACACACACTTCAGATGAGGCTGTTTTACCCCGTGCTGGCAATAAATATTCAGCACTTTCCAAGGGAATCTGGGATTGTGAGGGAGGTTTTTATGATATGCAGCAAGGAGAACTCACAACACCTCTTCATGGCAGAACAAAACAGACACACACACATAGTCCTCAGAAATGATCCCCGGTATTTGCTTTAGCTCTCTGTATTACTCATCTATTGCTGTATAACAAATCACTCCCAAACTTAGCACCTTAAAACCATAAGCACTATTTCAGAGTTTGTGTGGGTCAGGAAGTGGGCAGCTTAGCTGTTGATTCTGGCTTGGGGGTCTCTCAATCAGGCTGCAGTCATCTGAAGGCGTGACCAGCTGAGATCTGCGTCCCGCATGGCTCTCCTGCAGACACGGCTGGCAAACTGGTACTGGTTGTTGGCAGGAGGCCTCATTCCTCCTGTGATGGCCATGGGGCTGTGCCTGTCTTCACAACGTGGCAGCTGCCTCCCCCCAAAGCAAGTGATCCAAGAGAGAAAGGCAGAAGCGACAATGTCTTTTATAACTAATAACCTCAAAAGTCACCCACTATCATTTCTGCAAAATCTCACTGGAAACATAGGTCAACACTACTCAGTGTGGGATGGAACCATGCAAGGGTATGAATACCAGGAGGCAAGGATCATACGGGGGGCATCTTAAAGGCTATAACCACAATCACCATGTCACTCTTTCCATCATAAAGGAAACAGAAATTCCTTGAATAAGGAATGTGACCAATCTAGTGGTCCCTGAAAAAGGATAGTCCCTCTTATGATTAAATTTGCATTTTTTGTTACAGTCTTTTGAGCTATCTTGTCAGTAATTGCTAAAAGTCTTGTCAGCTATGGGCACAGTGAGGACAACCTTCTAGGTGACTGGTGTCGCCATGCTATGCCAAGTAGTTTGCTTTCCTTGGCTCTCTATTCTTGGATGTACTCCTGTGTGTACTACTGCACAAGGCCTTCCATTCAGACTTAAAGAGCTTAGACTCTGCTCAGACAGGCGGTTGCTGAATTATTTTAAGTAGGGCAGAAACTAGATTATATTTGCCTTTTATCAGGCTCATTCTATTGCCTGTTTACAAGATGGATTGGTGGTAGGGAGGGAGATGGAGCAACACTGGAGACAGAGAGTCCTTTCATCACAGGTAAAGTTTTACAGCTCTCAACCCTTGATATGATTCCTAATTTCCTCATCAACTAACCTGAAGCTCAGCAAATTAATCTGTTTTAATGTAAACGTTTACTTAACAAACATGTATGGGTGTCTAGCATACGCCAAGCCTTGTTTGGGCCCTGGAGACACAGCAAACAATGAACAAAACGGGCAAAAATTCCTGCCCTTATGCTTCTTAAGTTGTAGTGAACACAGACTGACTGAACAAACAAGTCCAAAGTTACGGCCGTTAACAGTGATAAATGCTACGCAGAACAATGAAACAGATGGCATTAGGAGATCTTTGGTGTTTCGGGGAGAAATCGTTGGATACTATTTTAAATACTGTGGTCAAGAAGACCCAGTGGGAGCCGAGGGAGAGAGCAATGTGGACAGAGGAACCACCAGTAAAAAGCCCCAAAGGCAGAAATACAGTTCATGTTTTTGCGAAACTGCTAGAAAGGCAGTTTGCAGGTAATGAACCGAAGGAGGAAGTCAGATAGGTAAATGAGTCCCACCTAAAATAAATCCCTCTCCCTTCAGGGCTTCCAAAGTACCTTATCTATGTGTTTTAATGTAACTCTTATTACACCAGCAAATTAATCTTGCCTGAGCAATGGTGTGTGCTGGTAAATATCTGGCCAGTACCACCTGGCTCCAGGCCGGAGCAGATTGTAGGTTGGAAACACGAGGGACCAGTGGAGCCAAAGCCCTTGTTCACATGGCCAGCAAGGGGGAGGACGGGCTCCCTGCTCGCCCCCGGGGCAGAGGTGCTGCCAGGACCTGGGTCTTCCCCCTCCCTGCAGCTGTCTGCAGTGCTAATGTCCCCACCTGGACCTTCCAGCACAGGATTAGCCTGAGGGTAAAGGCAGGAAAAAGGACATGGGGGTAGAGAAAAAATTATGTTACAATGTAACTGAAGTGTCCTGATTTACTAGAAGTATCCTTTCAAACTGATGAGTGTGGATCTTGGAGTGGAGCCACTAGATATAATGCAAGCAAAGTTATTGAGAAAGCCTTTTCTCTTAATGAGAAGTTGCTACTTTTTCCTATAAAGCCAAATCCTGGAGGCTTGAACATATACTGTCTTCCTGCAGAGGCTTTTAGTGAGCACGGATACCTCAAGATCATCGATCTTGAGGTATTCGTGCTCACTAAAAGCCTCTGCAGTTACTAGTCTCCTGCCAGCAGGACCGTGACACTGGGTTTTTCATACAAAACACTGAAAACGTGCCCTCCTTTCCTCATCCGCGGTCTCACTTTCTTCCTAATTTACTGAAGAATTTGTTTCATAGGACAGCCTGGAATGTTGGCATATTTCCAAACAAAACACAGCAAACAAGCCTAAACGCCCTGTTCAAAACAGACTTGGCAATGAATACGAGGCAGGTTCTAGATGTGTCAATCCTGCCCCAGTTGCACAGGGAGACTGAAGGGCTCTGTGGGCTCGGCTCAGTCTTCCTGACGCACAGCTTTTCTTCCTTCTCCACTGATGGATAGCGGCATGGACACGCAGGTTTTTGCTTTATTCACTGGGTTATAACCCATAACTCTTCTTATTTTGATGCTCAGATTTCCCAGACGTGGCCAGTGAGAACTCTGCAGGCCGGCTTCTACGTAACCTGATGGGCCCCCAGCATTCCTTGGGCATGTCCTCGCTTTCTGGGAGATCAAGATGGGTTGGGCTTGTCTTGTACTTTCCTAGCCAGGACTAGAATTAGTCTTCTCTCCAAGGAGCTCTGTGTGGAATGTATTACTCATTTTTTTTTTTTTTTTAATCCTCACCCGAGTATATTTTTTCCATTGTTTTATAGTGTAGAAGGGAGGGGGGGGCGGAGAGAAACATGGATGTGAGAGAAACACACATGACCCAGCTGGGGCTGGGGATTGAACCTGCAACCCAGGTATATGCCCTTGACCAAGAATTAAACCCAAGACCCTTCAGTCCAAGGGCTAATGCTCTAAGCACTGAGCCAAAGCAGCCAGGGCATAGGGTGTATTTTTAAAAACTGGCCTTGGATAGTGGTTGCAAGTCATCTGTATTTCTCATTTCCGGTTGGTGAGTCAGTCTGTTGTGAACTAGATTGCACAAAAGGGTTCTCCAGCATTCACTGAGCTTGCCCAGCTCGGGGCGGACTCGGGGTTGGGGCGTGTTGGCACAGCCAGCTGAAGACGCCCAGCCAGCAGCAGCTCTGGGTTTCCAGTGCATTGCATGGCTTAAGGTGCCGTGCGCTCGGTGAGTACCCGCGAGAACTACCCCCAGGAGGCGGGAGTCCAGACCACTAAAAGCTCATTCCAGGTTTCAGAAATGCTGACGTGACTTACCTGTCAGGACCATGTCTCCTGGTGACCTCAAGTTCCGCAGAGTAAGGCAAGGTCCTCTCTTCAACCACTTGATAACTCCCAGTCTCCAGTCACAGTCCATTAAGTAACTCCACTGATGAGGCAGATCTGGCACTGATTGCACTTTGTGCTTTTTCGTGGCATGTTTGAACAGTCCAGTAAACTCTAAGGACCAGAGTCCCCGGTTGGATTCCCAGTCAAGGGCACAGACCTGTTGCAGGTCTGATCCCTGGCCCAGTCCGGGTCATTCAGGAGTCAACCAATCAATGTCTCTCTCTCTCATGTCACTCTCTCTCTCTCTCTCCCTCCTTCCCATTATATCTGAAAAAAAAAAATCAATGGAAAAATATTCTAAAAAAAATGGACAAAGGGTCTTGAAATAATAATACAATTATTATTCTGAAATAATAAATACAATTTTCCAATTCCTTTCCAACTGCTATTCTATATAGCTTTAAATGGGACTATGTCTTTTTTAAAAAATGTTTTTAATCCTCACCCAAGGATATGTTTTTTATTGATTTGAGAGAGAAATATTGACGTGAAAGAGAAATATTGATCAGTTACTTTCCGTACATGCCCCAGCCAGACTCAAACCCACAATCTAGGCATGTGCCCGACTGGGATCTGAACCCACAGCCTTTTGGTGTGCGGGACAATGTTCCAACCAACTGAGCCACCCAGCCAGGGCAGGGGCTGTGTCTTTTAAAATTTGCATATATTGGAAAAAACATTTCTGAAAGCAATTTACCTCAAAGCATAGAGGAAAATGAGGAGAGGAACAGAAACTTGTAAAAATACATCTTTTAATAACATCAGGAAGTACAGTGCAGTTTCCCGAGGCTTTCCACTGCAGCTCACAGCGAACGTGTCCTCTACCCAGCGAACATTTACAAGTGAAGTACACTTAGGGCTCTCCCCATGGCTGGGCAAACCAAAGCTGGCGCATCACACCACGTTCAAGGTGCTTTTCGAGCTGGCTTCTGCAAAAGGCCCTTAACGTTGATAGCTTGTAACAAAATAGATCCCCTGTCACAGGGAGAGCCTGATGAGCACTCGAAAATTACAAAAAAGAATCATAAATACTTGCTTTCCTTGGATGGCTTTGAGGAATAGCTACTGATGGCAAATCTGAAATATTAAAGACAAAAAGGGAAACAGCTGTTTCATTTGTCTAGTGACTCTATAATAAATACCGATTTAAGGCTACAGATTATGAAAAGAATCCGAAACATTCTTGTAGGAAAAGGTTAACACTTATATTTATGATCCCCTGGACTAAAAACAGTCTGATATATTAATGGTCGAGTCTACTTTTCTTTAACATTGTTTATACAAAGACCAGGGGATGGTGGACTTCTTGACACTTCTGGACAAAGTTAGTGAAGGGAATGAAATTAATTAGCAAAGAGGGAAATTAGTATTAATCTCAAAATTCTACCACCATTGTCTTGAAATGATCAAAACGCAGCTCGATCAGAGGCGAGTTCGAAGGAACAGACTGAAGGAAATCAGGAGCTATAACTAAAAGCCCATAGGCGTGCATGCGTTCTCCTGATGGCACGTAGAAATTACAGGCCTGGATTTATTTGCTATATACATAAACTAGTGTTGGAATTAGAAAGTATCGCTTACATCCACAGAAGTACTAGAATCATATTAGTATCATATTCAGATTTGCAAAGAGGCACAAGAATCTGTTTACCATGCAAACTAGCTGTTTGTGAAATGTTAAAACAGTTCAGTAATGGTTAATGGTTAATAGAACAAAATCCTTATGAACACAGTACTGATGTGTAGCAGAATACACCAATTAAGTAAGCAGCTCAAGTTCACAAGGGTAAAGACCCAATATCCCTGAATTTCTAAGCATTCATCTCAGTGTTAACATGGTTTCATCTAAACATTAGCCCATTTGAAGAGATTTTAAATACTCCTCCTTCTTCAATACATCACCATACTTTCAGAAGTGAAAAGTAAACATTTAATTTCTCTACTGCTTCCGCCCATTCTCATGAATCTTGTATAGTGTTATTACAGTGTCTAGGCTAAGATAGGCGCTCTAAAGGATCCAACGAATTGAAATGTCTAGGTTCCAGAATACTCCCGGCATTGTACAAGCTTGTCTACCAGAAAGCCACCTCTCTAGCTGCAGTATATTCCTGGATCAACAATTGAGGAGTTAAGACCAGCTACCAACAAAGTCCTACTGTTCCCTAATTGTCTGATAATATTTTGACCTTCTCTATCAAAATGTCTTAGAGAATGGGACAAGGTCTCATACTTTTCATGTATCCTCTCTCGCACCTACTGAAGTGTTGCGCAAAGACATATGCTCAAGGACGTACTTGATGAGGGGCAGGAACTGAGTCGGGAGTGAATGTGGTCATGGAGAAGCTATACCTTACTTTAACCATACTCAAAGGCAGTCATGAGAGTGAACTTCTGATGTTTGTCACTGAAGACAGATGCTTGTCCCCTGACACTGCCTAAAAGATAATAAACCACTTGGGCCTCTTTATTTTTTTTCTCTTAGTAACTAAGAGGTTATACATGGGTATTAGTACCACTTAGTGGCTGATATCTGTAAAAAATGTTTTCTGCCTCAGAGGAAGCACCAATCCATCTCATGGCACATTTTAACTACAAGAATATAATTTATAGAATCATTAACTCTTAAAATTGTTCAGTGTTATCCATACTAATAGATATTTTAAATGTTTGGCTTATTTTCTCTGATATCACTTAAAATGTATTTTATTTTTAAACTCTGGCATGAGGTAGAAGATAAGGAACTCACAAAAGAAAGGACTCTTCAAAACACTGAACTCTATCCAATGCAGTTAGCCCCAAGAGAGAACTAAGGGAAGTCACAGCCTTAGGCTGGTAGGCTGACTACTGTAAAGATATTAACTCCCCTTACCTGAAAAAATCTCTTATATCTGAAATTGCCCCCCCCCTTTTTTACTGGCTTAAGGTATTCAAGAAAAAGGACAATACACACTCTGAAATATTCATCAAGACCATATGCAGCAGCTTCTCCCAGCCATCACTTTTTACACTACCATGTTGCTCTAAATCACCTCAATTGAGACACAGGTCCTTTCCACTTGAATTACTGATCAGACATCACTGTGGAGGTTAAAAATCCCCGTAGCATAAGAAGATGAACGATTCACATTTAAAATAATGCACGTTTCATAAAGCTAGCAGCACTTCATTCTACCATACACATTTGGCTTCATAGACTGGTCAGAAACAAAGGAAAATGTACATTGGTCCAAGACAGCTCCTTGTAAAAGGGAAATGTGAGCCCAAAGGTTTTCTTTAACAACTCTTTCTCCATTAGTTGCTGTGTGAAACTACTGGAATGTCGATTTCAATGGCAGAGAGGCGGGAGCGTGCCGAGTAGGGCTGTGAGTAGGCATGCATACTGGGAGGATGGGAGTACAGTGGCTGCCAGAAGGGAGAAGGCAGAGATTTGCATGCACAATACCAAACAAACAGTAGAAGGGAAGTCATAAATAAGCCCCCCGCACTAGCGATTGTGACATACACTGCGTAGTCAAATGTAAAGACTGGCTCGAACTTCCTGTTCAGGTGGGTGTTGTAAAAGAAGACCCAGATGGACGGAGAGAGGCTCACGGTGCCTGCCAGGAAAAACAGCAGCCCGGCCACCAGGTGGCAGCCTGCACTGTTGACCAGGCACTTGGCCAGTTTGATGTTGGGCACGGAGGACCGGAAAGCCGTGTTACACATTCCGATCAGGCACAGCAGCAGGGCACCCATTGCGATCAGGATGCTGAGGGGCAGGGCAAACTGGAGGACCCGCAGGTCCAGCTGGTCAACTGACGAGTACCAAGTAGTGTCGTACATCAGGCAGTCGCTGCTCCCATCATAGCGGGCACACTTCACCCACAGGCCTGTGTAAACAGTCAGGTTCTTCTCGTTTCTGTTGAATGTGATCAGTCGTAATTTTCTCCAGTTGGGAAGCAGCGTCCCCGCAAAGAGGCCCGCTACCGAGGCGATTCCACACAGGAAGGAGAGGACTGTGGCCGCGTGGACATCCCGACAGCCCATGGCAGGCAGGCTTGCGCAGTACAGTCGGTCAGACTAGGGGTGACACACAAGAGCACAGAATCAGGAGGGGACAACAGGAGAGCAGAGTAGAAAAGGTGGTGCTGATTGGCAACATAACTAATGATGTCACTGAGAAGAGGAAATTCTGTCCTGGTAGTCTCCATATATACAATAAAAATGTTTAAAAATACATGTGCGTGAGACTTCAGAACACAGTTGAGCACACACTCGGTTACGGCTTACTGGGTCACTAGCAACTTTAGACATGAGTATTTTTCTTCACAGAGAATCAGAGGAACAACCAAAATAATTTCAAATTCTCTTAACATCACATCTGAAATTCTCGTGGTTGTCAATAATCATTCAACACACATATATTAAGTGCTTTCATGTGTCAGGCATTCAAATACATAGGGACAGGGCATTCAACAACCATCAACTACAAACACCACAAATTCAGCCTCAAATGCTCATGCAAACGTGAAATGAGACCCGCACACAGCAGAGGTGAAGGCGGCTCATAAACCACAAAGGTGCAGAGAAAGAAGCACCACAGCACAGCAGAGTGTTTGAGGGCAGATGCCCAGGTAGATGAGTTCTAATCTCTACCTCCTCACTTACTAGCTAAGTGATCTTGGGTCAGCTACAAACTTCTCTGTGCTTCATTTTTTTCTCATCTGTAAAATGTGAAAAATAACAGTGCCTACCCCACAGAACTGTTTTAAGTATTTAATGAATTAATATAATGTCAAGTGCTTAAAACATGTCTGGTGCATTGTAAGTGCAAGGCAAATGTTAATTACTTCTCAGTGACCAGCTCAATGCTTGATATACTGCAGCAGTTCAATAAATGGTAAAGGAGAAAAAGCAAATATCTCAGTTTTATACTAGGCACACCAGAAAATTACAAAATGCAAATGGACTCCTCTCCAAGGAGTTAGTCAAGTGAAAAGACAAGAAAAAGTTGCCTGAAATTATTCTGCTCAGCTACTTCCTGGCTATTACTGGTCATGTAAGATGAAAGCTAAGATTTCTAAAGTAATGATAACCTAGCTCTATTCGTGCTATTATAAGGAAAAGAATAGTAGCCAGGCCTTTCTCTCATCCCAAATTAAGGGGCTGTGTTTTTCTTCTGTATATGACAAACTATAAAAACTACTATCTTACTCAGCTTTATTTTTTTTCAAAAGTTTGAAACTCACTCTCCAAACATCACTCAAATATATTTTCTCTGCCTTCTATCATGCCCCCTAGGAGGCAACAGATCAGACTACTTTAATAAGGTAGCACGTTTACTTCTTTTAGTCAGATCATGGCAAGGTTGAGAATATTCTTACTTCTGGACACACTACAGGTTTAGAGAACCCATCATCCTTTGCAGAGTCAAAGATTGTCTACTGTGAAGATGGAGCAGCATTTCAGGAGTATAGGGGTCAGAAAGAAGAACATGACCAAAATGCTCCAAAACTGGGTTAGGACTTCACCGAATGTGTTCAATGGGAAGGCCCAATGTTCTTTAGAAAACAATGTATTTGTATATTTAATTTAATAATATAATTTAGGAATATTTTTGTAGCAGAAAATATAGGTGTGTGTACACACATACCTATACAAATATACGTGTACAATATAAAATCAGAGTTTAAGCACAAGTGACCATTTTATTAAAATTTTCAAGTTAAGCATAATTATTTCTAAGTTTCTCCATTAATATTTAACAAGTTTACTACTTGTTTATCACACTGCTTTCTGTCAATGTTGCCAGAAGTAGCAATTGTTTCAGAAAATGTTATGGATAAAAACAAAATAAAAAAATTTTAGTCCTTATTTTTTGTGTGCAAACTGGGGGAAAAAACTGTCCTGCTTAAATTTAGCAACCAACCACCTTGGTCCAGCAAGGAAAGTTCTAGTGCAGGTTTGAGAATATTTACACTGGAAAAGACGACTAATGAAACCGAGGGGCCTTATGACTTTGACTAAAATTAGGTTTAAACCCTACCTCTAGAAACCATCTCTCTCTCTCTCTCTCTCTCTCCACACACACACACCCCTCCCCCCACACCTAATCTTTTCCTCAGATAATTAGCAACCCCTGAGGCAGCAGAAGATAGTAGCCTGGAGCTGGCTAATGGTCACAGGGCCCTGACCTCTTGCAGGCTAAAGATAACATCTTGACTTAAGTTATGTTTCAGCTCCTGAGCCCTAATGTGAAATGAACCCCTGGCTACTTCCCAAGAACCAGATAAAAGGACACCAGAACAAACCTCAGAACTGCCCTCAAGACCTCAAGGAATGATTTATTACCTTTACTTTACTTCTGACCAATCAACCCCTAGCATGACCCAAACCTCCCAACCTATGGTGTCTTGTGATTTTGTCCTATATAATCTGTAACCTACATGCCATCGGGGAGCTTGAGCTTTTGAGCATTAAATTCCCATTCTCCTGGTGGTGCCATTCATAATGAAACAGCCAGTATTTCTCCACTACAATTCTTGGTGTCTAGTGTTTGGCTCTGCTAACACCAGGTGGACAAACTCTTTCTTTTCTGTTCGATAACCCTAATGATGTCAAGCTCCGGAATTCAGCTTCCTGTTAGCTTTTGCTTATTCACCTGTCTCCCCCACACACTGTAAGCAACTTGCAGTGCCTGGCACACAAATCATTCCAGGAATATTTGCATAAATGAGTAACAGGCCCTGTTCCAAGGCCACAGTACTCACAAAGGTAGGCTACTGTCAACGTAGAGTTGAACAAGGTGCCATTGCTAAGCAGTCATTCATTCAATAGGTATTTACTGAGTGTCTAGCACATGCAAAACATTGTTAGGCCCTGGAAGAACACAGAGGCCACTAAGATCTGGACCTTGCCCCAATATGTTAACAGTCAGACTGAGGGAAAGAATATGCTGTTTGATATGAACTCAAAATACTGATAGTGAATCAGTTGTATGATTACCACATATCAAGCGATTATTGTTCAGTATTAAGCAAAGTGAACCAATAAGGTACCTGTTTATAAAAATGTATTATCCAGGGTTAGAAAAAGACTGAACAATAAAGACAATGATAATTTGATCAAAGTTGCGAAGACTGCCCTGGTTCGGCTCAGTGGTTAGAGCATCGACCCATGAACCAAAGGGTCTCAGGTTCAATTCCCGGTCCAAGGGCACATACCTGGGTTGCAGATTCAATCTTCGGCCCTGGTTGGGGTCATGCGGGGGGCAACCAATTGATGTGTCTCTCTCCATCAATGTTTCTCTCTCTCCCTCCCTCCCTCTCTCCCTTCCACTCTAACTTAGGAAGGAAAAAAAAAATCAATGAAAGAATATCCTCAGGTGAGGACTAATAAAAAAATAAATAGAAAGTTGTGAAGACATAAGAAAAAGGATCCCTCTGTTTCTTTCAAAGCTTCAGCACTCCTTCAGACAACCTACTCATGGTCCTAACTCTCACACTTCCTTCTCGCTTTCAGAGGCAGGGTTCAGACACTTGGAGTATCAGTGTCAGTGGGAGTTCTCCAAACTGCCCTGCACCACTGGTTCCTACAATGCAAATGAATGAGAAACAAGATCAGGATGAACGACTTTATGATTAATAAATACATTCCTGTATTTCTTAGTCTACAGACTATTCAATGACACTGATAAACAGAGATGGGTCGATATCTTTTTCAGTATAAAATGTGTTCAAATTTATCCTGCATCAAATCAATACACGCGATATAACAGTCCCCTGAACTTGCTTTCACTGAAGCATTCTTAGCTCAGATCACAGAGATTACCTAAAAGTCTCATTTACAAAGGCAACAGGAATTCAGCAATTCTTTTCAGATGGAAAATACTATTAACCTCAATTCTTTAGCTAAATTTCAACCCCAGTGCTAGAATTAATGTCCTTGCTCTTTGTACCTATCTTTGGCTACTTTACTTATTATGCTGTTCTTAACTCCATATATGCATGATTGATAAGTCATACAACCCACTAGAGAGATGAAGTAACATTTATAGGAATAGGTGGGAAAAGGAATATGTTTAGTGATTTAAAACTGAAAGATAATGCTGACTCTCAGGTTAAGATTTCTTTGTATTGAGATGGTAAAAAGACCTGCACTCTTGTGCTGTGCACCAACTTATTCTGAATCAAGAATGTTTTTCTTTCAAATGCAAATCGAATCATTTCACTACATTTCTTACCATGCAGTGACTACCTATTCCCCTCAGAATAAAGTTTTTCAAGTTTCCCACCATCTGGTTCCTGCCAAATTCTCCATCTCTCTGTCACTCTCGCACCTTACACACTAGAGCCTATGTAGCTTTTTTCACTTCCAAATCTTTCTTTTTAATTTAGCTAAGGTCTTTTCTTCATGTTATTCTTCCTCCTAGAACTTTCTTAATCCATCCTATCCTTTGCTTAGCGAAGACTAATTCATCTTTCTAGTTTCCTGGCCCTGACCATGCCCTCCCTCCTCCCTTCTCTAATCTTCCCCTATCCCTGGTTAGATGCTCTGGTAGCACCTCTGTAGTTTTTCTGGTAGCAGCACTGTGCTTATTAATTCCTTGTTAAGTATTTATCTTTCCCACCAGACTGTGAACTCCAGGAGGACAGAGAGCCTTCTGTTTTACTCACTGTGTCTGTCCAACATTGGCACATAGAAGGCACTCAAATATTGTTAAGTGAATAAACAAGCAAACAAATGAAAGGTCCATATGAGTATAGTTAGGATACAGAAAGTTATAAATGTGCTCTATTAACAACAGTCCCATTCATTCATATCCTGTGTTCCAAGCCTCCAAGCTGCTTCAGACTGTACCCTGCTTTCCTCTCTTTATTGGCAAAGTCTCTCCCATTTTCGTAAAACAAAAGTTCATTTTCTTCCCCTAGAAAATTCCTAAGAAAAATGCGGCGATTTCCAGGTATTTACATATAAACTATGATTCCAGAAATACCTAAGTTTGGCATTACTGATTAAGTTACACACTGGTTAGGGAGTCAATCAATTATGACTGTGCTGTTGTTTATGTTTTCAACTTAATAAGTATGTTACACACTGGTTATACCCTCTTCATTAAGAGTGGTTAATATATCAAATCAATGTTTATCAACGCTAAGTAATTTATTAAATTTGTATTTTTTTGTGTGTGTTAATCCTCACTCTATATTTTTCCATTAATTTTTAGAGAGAGTGGAAGGCAAGGAGGGAGGGAAAGAAACATCAATGTGAGAAACACATTGCTTGGTTGCCTCCTGCACGACCCAGACCAGGGCCAGGGATGGAACCTGCAACCCAGGTACCAGCCCTTGACTGGGAATTGAACCTATGACCCCTTAGTCTGCAGGCTGACGCTCCAACTGCTGAGCCAAATTGGCCAGGACTATTACATTTGTATTTATATTTTCTTTTTAAAATAGCAATGGGAAAAAAACAAACATCTTTTTGCCATATGAAAACCCCTTACTAGGGATTGTGGAAAATATGCAAAGCTAAGAACACCTTTTAACAAAACTGAGAAGCATTCATGAACACTAGCTGGGAAACAGCCTTGAGCTGGGTTATATATATATATATATGATTGTGTGGGCTTGTTGCTTCCATTTGAGAGGCAACTTGGCATTGTAGCCTAGGGGATCAAAGACCCAAATGTTATTCAAAAGGTACCATTTACAAACTGGACAAGATATCTGTGCCCTCTGAACCTTAAATATTCATCTGTAAAATGTCCCCCAAGGTAATTTAAAATCATGAATGGTAAAGTCCTCTGTAAAACAGAATATGGTCAGCAATTTAAGTTTGTAATGATGATTAGTAGGATTACATACTTCATTTAGCTAGAAACATAATCTTCTTCTGAATTATCAGCAAACAACCACAGATTATTTTAGCCATATAACAATAATGCCAGAGCATTCTCTTTGGAGTAGTTACTGACCAAATCAAATAAGGATTGTTTCGAAGAATATATGTACCCCCATGTTCATAGCAGCACTATTTACAATAGCTAAGATCTGGAAACAGCCCAAGTGTCCACCAGTAGACGAATGGATCAAAAAGCTGTGGTACATATACACAATGGAATACTATGCAGCGGTAAGAAAGAAAGATCTCTTATCCTTTGAGACGACATGGAGGGACCTGGAAAGTATTATCCTAAGTGAAAGAAGCCAAGCAGAAAAAGACAAATACCACATGATCTCACTTATATACGGAATATAATGAACATAACAGTCTGAGGAATACAGTAGACCCAGACACATGGAAGTAGGGCACAGACTGAAATCCCTCAGAAGAGGGGATGGGGGGTGGGGGGGTGGGAAGAGATAAACCACAGAACTTATATGCATGTATGCATGACCAATGGACATGGACAACTAAGCTAGGGACAGGGTGGAGGGGGGGTGGGGTGGGGGGTGCCAATGGGGTAAAAAGGTAAAATATCTGTAACAAAAAAATAAACAAATAAATAAATTCAAAAAAAAAAAAAAATGTCCATCAAATAAGGATTGTTTCCAAACAGCTACTTCACATCTGTCATTTGGCTATCTGTTCCACAATGCCTTTTAGAGAAGTAGATGACTAAAATTTGGTACCCAATTAAAGGTTATCAAAGATATCTCAAATAAAAATATTTTCAAAAGGATATTTGTTCTGTGGTTTTGAATAGAGTTCAAAGCAGTATGGAGCTGGAATAGTGGCTAAGAGCTGTAGAAATTCACAGACCCATAACTATGTATTTTTTCAGGGATAATCCTAAGGAACGGCTATATGAGAACACATGTAACAGCAGCTACATTAATTCCTGATGCTATAGTTGCAGTCCCTCTACCTGTAATGTGGGTTTTCTTAGAAACTTGTAGTTCTTCAATCATTGCATTCACAAGGGAGGTCTGTCCTACAACTTTTTTATTGAATAAGAGAAAAATCTGTCATCTGACATATGGTAGCAAAAAGAAGAGAAATATAATCAAAGGATCTACTTACTCTTTGAGGTGCTTGATAGTTCTAAAACAACTTTAATCAACTTAGAAGAAATATCTGCACATCTGAACAAAGAGTAGAATTGATCTGGGCCTAAGGAAATAGGGAAAATGCCCCAAATTAATACAATACTTCCTTAAAACTCATTTTGGACTCACACGGAATTAGGATAAATAATTAGCAATCATCTAAAACCAATGAAATGTTATATTAAAAAAGGTGGGCGGTAAGCTTTTTTTTAAAAGGCAGTTTACTCTTAAATTCACACATCATATGTAAATACAAAAGAAAAATGAACTCATTTTATGATTTGAGAAGATAGGAGAAATAAGGGGAAAAGTCACTTTACTGTCATGGCAATAAAACTATTAACATTTGATGAAATTTTAGATCATTTTTATAACTACAATGAAAGAATAAAGAGGGCTGAGGAAACACTGTGCAGTTAGTTGTCTGGGAAGTAAAAAATTCATTATGTTTCCTGTATGCTTTTTAAATGGATGCTGATGACAAAACTTAGCAAAGTTGATCTGCATTGTGCATCCTAACATCTGCAACTAGCATGCTTTTTTGAGTTTAAGTTCCACCAAATGGCTCAACCTGCCATTTCAATATGTTTCCATATCTTTTCTAAGCACCAGCAATGTCCTCTTCAAATACTATTGATCTCGGTAGGCAAGCTGCCAATGAAAACTTGTAAACGCCTGCTACCTTCCTGAATCACGGCGTTTGTCACCATCGCTATTATGCTCGCGACACGGATTACCATCCCACGCAGTCTGCACAGAAGAGATTTCAATCACACCATTTTTATTTTCTAAATGTGTGTTTCTTGCGTTGGTATCGAGCATAACTGCTCACTCCAAAGTTAAGGGAGATCATTTCACAATTCAAAACACAGCCTAGGATCCCTGATTACAGTTATTTTAAGTGCGGTCACTACGTCTGGCCTGGAACAGAACTAGGCTTCAGAGGAAAGCAAAGCAAGCTCCCAGGGCAATCCGCACCCCACCCCCTCCCTCCGAGCGGCGCCCTTAGGGGCACCGGAGCTGGCAGAAAGAAAAGGGGGGAGGGGGGACTCTCTTGGAGCCAGTGGGGAGCCCGCCACAGTGGCTGTGACGCTCTCAGAACAAGCCCATCCCTGCGACAGTGAGCGGGTCTGAACCGCGAGCAGGTCATCATTACACAAGCACCCGCAGCTGGAGATTCGAAAATAGCACCTTGCAGCGGCACAGAGCACCCCCGCGGGCCACGCCGCAAGCCCCCGGCTGCTCCCGCAAGGCACTCCGCCCTCTCCATTCCCCGGGTACCAAACACACTTCCCGAGCGTTACCAACACTTCCCACTCAAGGTGCGTGCCCACAGACGTGGTCGGCATTTTCCAGTGTCCCTGACTCCCTTCGAGTTACCACATGTTTTATACAAAATCCTCAGCTACTTATGCAGAAGACCCAGAAATCGGAATGTTCTTCCCTACACCTACCTGTCTTTCACACCAGGGTAGTTCGCTCGCCCACACCGAACAGCCTCTCGATGAATCTCCCTCTCAGGGTCCCAGGAAGTGCGTTCCCGGCGAGCCGCCCCGGAGACTTCTGGGAGCCTGCTCCGGTTCTCCCGAGGCTCCACACAGGAATGCCCTGGGAGACTACAATTCCCAGAACCCACTGGGCCGCCGGCCGCGACATCCTGCGGCCGCCTCTCCCGCCTTTCCCCTGCCTACTCTCTACCCCTCGCACCTTCAGTTCCGTCCAGATTTGGGCAATCAGTCTTAAAAAAAAAAAAAAATTCAACGAAAAAACCTGAAGATAGGTTTGAGTTGGGTACCAACGTAAATATTTCAATTAAATGTGATTTATCTGTAATGTTTATTAGCAAAAAAATCTTTAAATACTTTTCCCCCCTCAAAGTACTTAGCAAGGCAGGAAGTGGAAAAGAGCTATAATTTATTTCGAAAATGTTCAGAGTTACAGAGAATTTGAATACTACGACGAACACTCATGTACCTACCTTCTATAGCCACCAATTATCAACATTTGCCACATTATCTTATTCCCATTTATTATGTGTGTAATCTTTTGAAAGCAGTAGGCATCATGACACTTCAGCGTCCTTTAAAACTTTTAAACATATATTTAACTGCCTAGGTTTATATGGGACTCCACTACATATTAGTTGGGTGGCCTTAGGCAACTTCCTTGTCTCTGTCTGAGGTTATCTGTAAAATAAGGATAAGATCACCAACATCATAGGGTTTTCTTGAAAATTAAGAGTTAATATAGGCAAAGTACCAAGCACATAACTAGCTATAGAACTAACTTTACTCTCCCGCACAATTTCAACTGTCCTTTCCCGTTTTATTATGGTTTCTTCTAAATGTGAAGTCCTGTTTTAGTCAATAGAATATAAAGAATTTAGAAGGCTTATATGAGACTGATCTGATTTTTTTTTTTAAATAAAAGATGATGAAGTATTGATGCCCACTACTTTCAAATGATGCCTACACACACAAATGGAGATAAAGTAAATGTGGCAAATGTTGATAAACGTTGAATCTAGAGAGATTAAGTATATGAGTGTTTATTGTACTATTCTAATTCTCTGTACCTTTGAAATTTTTTCAAAAGAAAAAGTTTGAGAAAAAGTATCATAGCTTTAAACAAAAGTAAAGGATAGCATCTATCTACCTGTCCCACCTTGCCCCTGTATGACCTGGGGCAAGTTAAGTAAACTCTTTGTGCCTCAGGATCTCATTTGTATCTACATCAAAACATAATAGTGGGGCCATGGCTGGTTTGGCTCAATTGGTCGGGCGTCATCCCCTGCACCCAAAAGGTGACGGTTTAATTCCTGGACGGGGCACATACCTGGGTTGTGTGCTCAATCCCTGGTAGGGGGTGTGCAGGAGGTAGCCAATTGATGTTTTGCTCTCACATCGATGTTTCTCTGTCTTTCCTCCTCTCCTTTCCTCTCTATCTAAAAATCAATTAAAAAAATAATGGTGAGGATTAAACAAATTACTACACATAGAGAAGTTTACAACAGTGTCTGACACAGTAAGGACTGTATGTGTTTGCTATTACTATTTTCCATTTTGTATTGCTCTGATAACAATTGGACCATTTGTTAGTGATGGAAAAGGGGGGAAAAACTACTGTCGGTCCACTGCTAACACCTTCTCATCTTCCATATTGCTTCTAAGGCCAGAAGCAATCCAATGACAAAGCCAGACCTAGAAATGTAATAATGAGAAAGGAAAATAGCATTGGGTGGTAAAAGGATCTGGGCACACACAGGCTCTGGGCTGCAGGCCAGCTCTACCAATAGTAGATGGATAATGGCAATGTGACACAGTATAACTCACTTCTTTGCTCTGAACTCTAGTTCTCTTATCTATAAAACTGAATTGAGTCAAATAGCTGTGTACAAAATCATTTTATAATGCATTTCCCAATCACTGATGAACACTACCTGGTTAGCAGATTTTATCTGGGATGTATAGGAAATTAACTATAATTTTAAAAATAATAGCTCGATAATGATGGTGGGAAAATCCTATTTCTAGACTTACTGATAAAGTTCAGGTCTATGGTTGGCCTGCATTCAATATAGCAAAGACATAACAAAATACTTAAATATCCTAGGGGGACTAGATTAACTAGAATACTAAAATATCATTCTCAAGAGTACTTTAGGTAAGACTTCAGATAGCAATTAACAATCTCGGCTTTCCAGTTTTTCTCAACAGAGATTCTTTAAGGAGTGAGGCACAAAAAATTCACTGCACTATCTCATCACCAAAATTAAACAAATATTCCCACTTGATTACCATATTAATTTCTTATTGCTGCTGTAACAAATTACCACAAACTCAATGATTTAAAACACCACAAATTCATTACCCTACCTTTCTGGAGGTCTGAAATCTGACATGGGTCTCACCGGGCTAAAATCAAGGAGTCAGCAGGGCTGCATTTTTTCCTGGAGGCTCCATGGGAGGTTCAGTTTCCTTGCCTTCTCCAGCTTCCTGAGGATACCTGCTTCCTTGGCTTGTGGCCCCCTCCCATCTTCAAACCCTGCAACAGCTGGTCGAGTCTTTCAACATCATTCTGATATTCTTCTGCCTCCCTCTTCTGTCTTTTAAGAATCCTTGTGATTACATTTGACCTATCCAAACCACCCAGGATAATGTATCTATTTTATGGCCATCTAACTAGCAACCTTAATCCCCCCAGACATACACAGAACATATTCACAGATTCTGGAGATGAGGATGAGGAAGGCTTAGGACACCATTAGTCTGCCTTCCACAGTCACTAACCTCTTTCTGGTTGAATCCACAAGCCTCTCTTTGGTCCTAATTCTCTTCCACCGTCTCCGGATCCACATTGCACAATTCTAAATGCCTGATTCCCCCCTAAACTCTTCTGTCTTGGATGTGAAAACACCAACATTTCCACTTCTCTTCAAATGTATCTGATTAGTTCCCTGTCCACCTGCTGCTTTCGTTTTCCTCTCCCCACTCCCCAGTAATCAAAAGGCTTTGTCCTGGGTCCTATCAATAAAATACTTCCTCAGAAGGCAACCTCTTTTTTATCTCCCCAAATCCATATCTCTGGCCAAGACTTTCCATAACGTTAGTACTACTTCTAATTACCAGCTCATGTGGTTAACTGCTATTCAATTTCAGCATTTTCCAAATACAGATTAATAATTGTACCCCTTATGTCTTCCATTATTCCTTATCTTGTCAGGGTTTCTTATGTTCTTCTCGATTGTCTTATTTCTTACCTTCTTTTATATTTTTTTCATACTTTTTATTCAAATTAGAAACCACATTCTCTGCCTTCTTCCTTTGAAATAGCCACTTGCCACTTATTCACTGGGTTACTGGTTCAAAGTTCATTTGCCCAACACTCTGAAAGGCCAAAACTCAAAATGTCAGAATTTGGAGTAAGGAAAAGTTTATTGATCAAGAAGGTGCCAGCCAAAATGATGGGAGCACTAGCAGTTTCTCAAATTTATCTTTAAAAAAGTGGAGTTCTGGCTTCTTTTATGTCGAGGGAAGAGAAAATGGGAGGTGCTGTTTTTGTAAAAACTCACACCCCAAACTGAATTCCTCTAGTGAATAGCATGTCAAAAGCAGGAGCTATTAGCCTAAAGATCATGGGACCAATGAAAACTTGAAAAAAATGGAGCCTGAGAGACCTAGCATTTCATTGTTACAGATACAAAAAATTGACCTCTCCACATTAAGGCACCTGCAACAATTTCCTTACATATATTAATGCCTATTTTAAAATAATACATTTATTACGTACCTGCATCACATTGAATATTTATTATGTGCCAAGCACTTTTTCGTGGACTACCTAATATAATCACAATAACCCTATATTAAGGACAAAGAAATTGAGATGCAGAGAGGTTAAATAATTTTCCCATAAGTAGTAAGTGGTAGACCTTCCTAAAAGGTTGCTATCACCATTTAGAACTGTGCAGACTCAGAACGGTCTCCTTTATTTTGGACTTCTGCCCTAATACATTACTTACCCTAAATGCTCATTGATGCTATTCCTGAACTTGGAATGGCCTATGTCAACATAAGAAACATCAAAATCTGTAGAGAATTTTTATGACTTTATTTGAACCAAACTGACAATTGCTGGGAAGCAAAATCTCAACAGATTGAGAAAATGCTCCAGAAAATAGCAGTTTTACCACTTATCAAAGACAAAGAAGACATGAGGAGTTACATAAAATCCACTGGTGATAGGTTAGGGAGGTGGGAGAAAGCACAGTGGCGAAACCTCTGAGATGGGATAAAAAGTAAAACAGAAAGATACTGCTTTTACATAGGTGGGTATAGGAGAGTTAACAGTTGACGTTTACAACATGGAGATGGCATATGGGAGAACAAGATAACAGTGAAGGATTCTGTGGTGTCCAGTTCTGGTGAGAGGTTGTGCCCTGAGAGGTCCGGCAAAAGGGGGATTACTCTGACCTCCACAGGTATGTTATGGTAGATGCAAAAAGACAATAGACAGGCTTGGTCGAGGAAGATGCTGACCTAGGACATGACTGTCTGCCAAGACTCGCTTTCAATTAAAATGTTTTCATTTCAGACCATGCTATGTGGTTACTTTAGGCCTCTGACTTCCTAAGGTACAGTACCTGAGCCTGTCAGGTTTAGTACATGGCCCTTTTTTTGTCCACAGATATATTTCACCATCGTATTTCCAAGTCTTTAACTGAAATTCAACAAATATGGATTAATAATTTTAAAAAAAACTCCCCATAAACTGTATTTTAGAGGAGACTGTAAAAAAATAAGATATAACATCATCTACTGATTGTGAACTTGGGAAGTGTAGAGAGAAAAGCAAGAAAGTGTCGTGGGTTAAATGTGTCCCTCAAAAATTCATGTTGAAGTCCTAACTCCCTCGATAACTTATCTTAGGATGTAAACTTATTTGGAGATAGGGTCTTTTCAGAGGTAATCAAGTTAAAAAGAGGTCATTGAGGGTGAGCCTTAATCCATAATTGGTTCCCT